CCGGGCCCACCAGCGGCGTGCCCCCCCCCTGGGTCTGGGGGCTCCAAAAGTTTTTTTTTCTTCCCCCCCCCCCCCCCCTGAATCCCTTTTCAAACCACGCCGAGAATTACTGCTGACACTCTGGCAGACGCCGAGCCAAGAGGTTTTCAAGTTGAAAACGGGTTCACGCCGGTCACATGACTTCACGGGGACCGCAATTACACAACCAGAAGAGCGACAAATCCTAATGCTGTGAGTCACGTCAGGAGGACAGGGTGATTTCACATTCGTACGTTTTAATTACAGTCCAAAACATAAATCAGCCGAGAGGTTTTGTGTTCACTTGTCAGGCGATGGGCTCGTGATCAGAGGTGTGATGATCCGTTTGTCCTTCTGAAAGCACCTAAAAATCCGATCTTTCCACTACGTACGCCGAATATCAAACGGTGCAGCATTTGTTGCAGGGTTCAGACGCAGGGAAAAAAAAAAAAGGGAATCTTTGATAAAGTACATTAAAATATATGATCACAAAAGCCCCTTTGAACAGAGAATGGTACACGCAGCTTCTGACATAATCGTGTTTTTGTTAGATGGCAATTGCACATTAAAGCCTTCACCTTCTCTGGAGTGCACCACTGTAAAGCAGGAAGTACTTGTAAACTCCTTCATGAAAAGACGTAGCTGCCTTTGTAGTGCTGAAACGCTGCTTGCACAATCTAAACAGAGTTTTGTGATCACTGTCTCGGGTCTAATGCTTGAATCTTAAATAAAGAACTTCGCCCGCTGAAGCATATGTTCCAAGAGAAGCAGGTTTAGGTTTTTATGCTTTTTTTCTTTTTCTTTTTAATGATTCATGCAGGATGTTGTTTTATTAGTTGCATGTAATCTAAACAAGTAACATGAAATATTCACCAAAAAAAAAAAGTGTGATTGCGTTCCGAGAGAGAGAGAGAAAGAGAAAGAGAGAGTGACTTTGCGATATCCAAGTTAAGCTTTAGTTACCAGAAGGTTTAATCACAACCAGACTGTCACGGGTCATCGTCTCGTGACCATGGAGTCTGGATTAAGAGCACAGACTTAAAATCAGATTTATCTTCTGTGGAAAATCCCTCTGATCTCTAATCTGGGATGTCTATGAAAAGGCTGCAAACTGCTCCGTACGAGCAAACAGAGTCGCCTTTTGTGCCTAACTTGTTTCTCGCGATACAGGAGAACGTACTGGGTTCATAACATGCCTTTCCCCTGTAAACCGAGGCTTGTACGTGCGATTCCTGACTTTTTTTTATTTTATTTTTTTTATTCAGACCTGTCAAAACTGACTCCCTGATGTGAAGCTCGACAGGAAAGTGACTCTCCACTCAGGCCTGTGTAACAAACAATTTACAACGAGGGAGATCCGCAGTGGGAGCCTTTAGCTGCGAACCTGTGTTCACATGTGAAAGGTGGTGGATTAAACGCAACCACATAGTTCAAAAATGTTGCCTATTAACGACTGAAAGTGAGAAATATTTCCGATTGTCTTTTAGGAATGATCACAGGATGATTCTGAGATTCGATTGAGTGATTTTTTTTTTTTTTTCACTTAGGACTATAACATATAAAAGGGGGGGGGGAGGATGTACTGCAGATGCTTTGATAGAGATAGATGTCTGGAATCCAACAGAAATGAAGCAATGACTATGTTAAACCCAGTTTATGCATGAAAGCGCATTAAACTAACCTCGATCTGATTTTTCTTAAATAAAAAAATTATATATCATAAAAGTACTTGCGTTGTGGTCGTTGAGTTTAGGAAGTATACATAGGAGGAATGTAGCTTTAATGAATGAAGGGGAAACGTAACATTGTCAGTGTATTGACTTGGTCAGAGTTAAAAAAAAATGCTGATTCTGATCTCTGATTGTTGCATCTAAAACAAATCTTTCAGAATTAGCAAACATCTGTTCTTGCTTTTATATATATATATATATTTATATATAGTGATGACTCTCTTGGAATAACATTGTGGGTTTGCATAGCACATACCTTCATAAACAGTCAACACAGGTAATACATTTAGAACAGTCCCAATGTGGGTCACGCTCAATCCTCTCTCTATCCCGCTTTATCACAGCGGTTCTGCTACACGTGAGGTTAAACATCCCATTTTTGGGCCGATCCAGTTGAGATCCTGCCAAAGATTAATCCATAATGCCCGTGGAAGGGCCCTTCATCCAACATGCTGCTGCTGCTGCTGCTGAAATAACACAGATAGCTGCTTCTGTTCCCAAGCATGCACTGCGGCTCTCCGATGACCCGGCGCTGCACCACTTCAGGAAGCCCACACAGCTCTCGCTCTTCCAGCTGGAGGGACCGTTTCATGTTCCGCCCAGGCGCAATGAGGAGTCTGTGCACCTGAAATGCAGAGATTGGTAACGGCCACACTGTTTACTAAAACAAACATGCAAGCGAATTTGGTCAGGACAGCAATAATCTTACTGGAAAATAACTACTCTCCGCCTGTTATTTTTGGAAAATGTTAAGCATCAAGTTCAGATGTTTTCATTGCCACCTCCAACCGTGTCTGCGCAGGTTTCAGTTCCTTCTCATAATCTCCTGGAAATATTTCTGGAACTGAAACTGCATTAATGTCAACTTTAAAAACAGGACGCTTGTGTTGTAAAAGTTTGAGGAAACATTTCCTACATTTGTCCAACAAGTTATAAAGCGTACACGTCGCCAAATGAAACTGCAATGTGGATATTATTTGTGATTTTTAGACAGGCCGCGCTAATGTGGCGCTCATTATCACGCAATTAAAAGTCAAACGGACTGAAGCGGACGTGTTTTTGTCCCTACGCCACAGGCACGCCAAATGTTTTAAGAAGTTAAGAGTTTTAAACCGGATAAGTTACGAATCATACCGTTGCTACAGTTTTCAGCCCTTTTAATGAGACCAGGGATATTTTCATTAAGGTACCACCGTTTTCAGACTGCAGTCAGGAAGGTCAGAGTGGCGTCTCTGTAGTCTGACTAATTAACCGGCTAATGTCGGCTTGTTATATTGTAGAAAAAGCACAACGGCAAAAAATGCAGTATTCAAAACAAAAAGCATTTATTTAAAAAAAACAACCAACAGCTAGCATCTAAATTGATGTTTTTTCAAAGTATTTAATTTAAAGTACGAATACATAGGTGCTGCAGATATTACTATAACTGCAGCAATATCAATGTGATACAATATTGTTGCTGCAGTTGGAAAAAATATCGCTTTTAAAATCAGTTAGATCATGTCACGTATTTGTGTAAAACACTATAAAACCAATGCATTTTTACTAAACAAAACACCTGATCACATTCATATTTCATTGGTCAAAACTAGGAAACTTGCAAATATGTGTTGTGTCAAGTTTACTCTTCAACAATGTCATTTGTATTCACGAGTTGAGCGTGTGAAAGTCAAACAAACGCACCACCGTGTGCGGCTGGATGCGCGCAGATGCACCGTTGCCCTCGGTATATGTTCCATCTTTATTCATGTGCTGCATATCATAACTTTTGGAAAACTTTCAGGGTACATTTCACTCTAAAACACATGTATCCCGTTGTCCCGCAGCTTCTGCTGTGGAGGAAAAACTCCCAACATCAATCCCCAAATCCCAAGAGAGCAAACCACCGCACACACACAGAGGCTAAGGCCCGAGGGGTGTGGTTTCTTTCTCTCCCTGTAAAAGAAAGGGGCAGCTCAAAGCTATAGATAGGGGCAGACAAAACAAATACGCCCTTACACACAGGGACGGACACACACACACACACTCACACACATAGCAGGAGCAGCAGGGTCAGGGAAGTGCTACTGACAAGGCCGTATTGAAGAAATGTTTGTTTTGGACCATGTGGTCACGAGGTCCTTGACTTCTGGCCTAGTGTCAGCCAGAAACGATCAAATAATGCACTTACTTGTGTTCTAGCAATGTGATACGAATGAACAAGTGTTTATGAACACATTTATAAAATGCATTTAAAAATAACAATAGGAGATGCAGTAATCAGGCTTTTCCCAGACTGATAGCAATTTCCGATTTGCTTTGAGGTTCATTTTCGACTGATCACAATTAGTTTTTCTAAGAAATCTAAACACATGAAACGGAAGAAAAAAAAAGATTTAAAAAGAGATGGTAGTTTGAGATCCAACAGCAGCTGAATTGATCACCCCTATTTACGATCCAAAGCATTTGTTAAAAAAAAAAAAAAAAAAAAGTTCACGCAGTTATTTGATGAGTTCTTGGTTTTGGTGCCTTTAATTAAAGAGAAAATAAAGGATTATTAAGGTTCTTGACCTGTCGATCACTGATCAGAGCTAATCGGTAAACAATTGCCTGTTCTGATCTCTTATTGATCAATTAGTCCACCCATAATAAAAAAAAAAAATTGAAATAATGGGTAACAAGATGGAAAGCTGTATTGACAACTCCATTACAACTTGCTTGGAGTATACATTATTTTTAAGCTCTCTGAAATGCACTCCAGTGTGTGAAGGACAGGACAGGAAAAATCCCATCCTTGAAGAGGTGAGAGGACACGGCACGAAGCCGATATCCAACTCAGACTAGAGGGGGATTAGAAGAGCTGGGCAGTCTAAGCCAATACAGGAAACAATGCCGAGGAGAGGCTGACACAAAAATAAAGTGATGGCTGTCGGGCGGTGAGGGACGCCATGTTGAGGAACAGGCTCTTTTGTTGGCTTCCACTCTGCTGAACGGGGAGACGGCGGCGGCGGCGCCGAACCAATACAGGAAACAATAACCTGATTTCCACCGCCGAGCCGAACGGGATTTAGAGTTCGCCGCACTGCAACATCAAAGGCGCCTCATTTAAGCAGCCCGCGTGACATTTCACCTGCCTCTCCCCACATCCCCGTGTTATTACAGCCGGCAGTCCCTGCATCTATACTGCATTAGCGGTTGCCATGGTGAAAGGTCCTCCATCCCGCGTCTATCCTGCGCAAAGGAGGAGACGCTCAAAGCGGACCGAGCGCGAGGAGAAATCCGAGGTCTGAGAGACAGCTCAAACCCAGTGACAGCTGTGTGACGTGCAGGCGCTGAGATGTTCCTGCAAGGACCACGCTGAGATTTCTTGCTCCGGATCTATCGCTAGTTTACAAAGCAGCACGACGGGCGCGGCGAGCCCAAACGCGCAGAGGGCCCGCAGATGGCGTTCGCCGTCATACGTTTCCAACTTTGTTTTCTCCCCCCTCCACGACCGTTCTGCTGCTTCGGCTTCGTTTTATTAAAAACTAGACAGGAATAACTTTCCTTGCTTTGAGCCTCAATCAGCACTCGAATGTGCAAAGTGTCACACAGCTTCCTGATATTTTTATTACGTCTCGTGACGGGGAAATTAAAACTCGCCACAGAGGGCGAACCGCTGCAGCTGAGGGGCTTAGAGCTCCTCAAAGTCATTTATCGGCTGGATTATCGTCAGCAGCTGTCTAATAAAACCCGTCACATCTGGATTTATGTGCCGTTTGTGCCATATCCGCAGCAGGGCACAATCACTGTCGTTATTGTTCTCGCGTCAACGCCAGCTAAGACGTAATTTCAACATGCCCAGAGAGAGTGTAAATGTTAGCTGAAAAGGGAGGTGGCACTTCGGATGCTTTATCGAGATTTCAAGTCAAGCCAACAGAAAACTAACAGCGTTACTGATGAGAAAATGAGAGGAAGAGATGACCAAATATGGGAAACAAGCAAAAAAAAAATAAAAAAATTAGCTGGGGTTTTCATTGGGTTTTCTACAAGGCCTTTGATGATTTATGGGCCAGTTAAAGGTTTCAGCACATTTGAAGGTTTTAAAAAACTGAGATTTTTAACCTATTAATGTTTTCTACTGTACTGCTGCTATACTTTAAAGTCCTTTGAATGTCATGACAGGGAAACAAAGAGTTTCCTGAATGGATCATCAAGTAATGCACGTCCCTCCCGTGGTTGCTGCACACTGCCAGTCAGCTGGATTTTTTGTTTGTTTGTTTATGTCTTTGTAAATCTTTATGATTGCACAAACAGACACTCACTGAGCACAGATTAAAGAAGTATAACGTATCCAAATTACAACTGGCTCAATACGAACGTCTCCGTTAAACAGCATCTCTTTTCCAACTATACGTCAATTTGTTGTGCTACTCTATAAATGACAAAACATGAGAATACATTTAGTAATAGTTAATTCTGTACTTTTGTTTTAGTATATCGAAATAGCAATAAGTAAAAATGACATATATAACTTAACTGTGATTGTAATAATACATTATTTCTTACTGTAGTTGTAATATTCAGTTTTAAATAAAATCAATTACATCACCTGTAACATTTTTTGTTTTCAATTTTGTTTAAGACGCATAAAATCTTTATCCGAGTCTAAGCCTAACATTATTTCAGCTCATGAACGTACAGTGCAATATAAATCCTATGTGAAAATAAATCCATATTGTAAACGCTTGCAAGTCAAAAGCGTCCCCGCATGACGAGGCTGCACCATTGACAAGACCGACTCTGCTCAAATGAATTTAATAAATCATGACTGAGCGCATTATTTCCACTCACTTTGTGGCACAATAATTCAATAATTACTATTTGGTTATTCCAGACAGATTCAAGGCGGCGCAGCAGCAGTTACAACAGCTGTGTCACATTTATCTTAAAGTCATCTTTCCACTGCATGAAACAACATCCTGCACGGCAGCCTCCGCTTCACCTTCCGCTAATCGATTCAGGAAGCCTCCTAAAACACGCCAAACGCCAACACGGACAGGCTCGTTACATCCATTTTTATTAAGGCAGAGGACTTTGTCATTAGCAAATCAATTGCTGGTCCTATTCACATTTGAGCGGCGAATGACTGGAAGGAGCCGCCGCCCTCCCCCCACCTTTCAGAGATTCACTGACGTGGAGCTGTGGCTGCAGTGGGGGGAAGAAAAAGAACTCAACTACTACAAACCATTTGGAAATGTCCTTAGAACTTCTTCTTCTTTTGCTCCAAAGCAGCTTATAGACAACAATGTCAAACTGACAACTTCTAGCATGGCTGATCCTGCATAGGTCCGCCTGGCTTTTGTGAGTGAGTGTGTGTGTGTGCTTACGACAGGGAGTGTGTGTGAAATACAGATAGAAGAAGAAAGAGTGAAAAATCAACATCAGAGTGTATTGTGGAGGCGCAGCCTCCCTTTTAAAAGGGTCAATGCAAACACACACCCACCTTGACAATAACACTTTTCTGTTTGCGCACACTGCTGGTCATGAATGGCGGTCCTCAGCACAGGCCGCAGTCAAAGCGAACGGGGCTGAATGGTAAAGGAGACGATGACTGAGTCAACCAGAAGAATAACAAACTGCTTTTCAATGTCATCTGACTTAACATTGAGTCATTTCGTTGAAATTCCAGCTCCTTCATGGCTCACAAACCAATTTAACATGTCATGCGACACAAAAGAAATGTTATTTCTGATTACTGTGAAAATTTGGATATTTAAGTAGTGCAGCATTATAAATATCTAGCTTTCTTATTTGATCTGTAATGCACTCGTGTTATGAAGTAGGAATAATATTTATTTAGGCTTTGATTTATTTCATCGCTCATAAAATATATATGTATACCCATGAATGTTGATTAAATGTTTTCCCTTGTCTAAATTTTGATCGCTGATGCGAAGTTACTCGTGTACGTTTAGGCCCGTCCACTTTAATTATTTTTCAGCCAACAAAATAGAAGACTACGTTCTAAAGAAATGCAAAAAAATAAAAAATAAAATCTACTAAAGCATCACGTTAAACTACTGAAAACACGACCACACGTAGCAACCTTTGACGAATAAATCCATTAAAAAGCCTCGTCGGAAAATGAAAAAAGAAAATATGCAGGACATAGAACTACATTACTTGGATGTCACTTAAAGGCCTTGAAGGTGTAATCACAGCAGCATCTATTAGACAGCACTTCAAAAACGTATTGAAATCTTATCGTTTTAGTCGTTTGTAGGCGAGGTTAAGAGTCTACGTAAAGATATACAAATTACCTGCAGAGATAAGGCGTACAGAGGCAAAGATAACAAATCTGAAATATGCAGGTATTTATTATCTGCAGAGATGTGAAATGTGGGCTGCGATTGATAAATATGAAAGGAGCTTAAGTTGAATTTTCGTCTCGTGGTGCAAATATACTTTTTTCATCACTGTCACTGCGAATGTAACCCACTCAATGAAAACTGATTCTTTAAAGAAATTTTTAAAACAGAGACACCAGCAGCTCTGCGTTCTGCAGAGTAATATACTCTTTATGGTTTTTCAAATCTAAATAAAATCTGTTCACCGTGAAGCTAAAATATGTTTTGATTATGTTTTTAAAATTAATTACGTAAATATGTGAATGTGTCACAGTATTTCATTCATCTTGTTCTAAGGGTGTAAGTCAATCGTAAATATGTGCGACGCAGCTGAAATAGGCCTATTTATTTTGTTATTTTTTTTCTCTTTTTTAAAAAGTACAAAATTCAGTTATAACCACACACATTTTTTTGTTCCAGACTGCTTAGAGCCAAATTGGATGCTAAGCTATCTGAAAGCCAGAGGGGGAGCTCTACTGTTCGAACAGCTAAAATTACAAAGTACCTTTGCTCTTTTCAGGAATTAAAAAAAAAAAAAAAAAGGAAATAAAATTTATGTTATGAATGAATGATATAGCATGAATTACATACATTATATACATTGAATGCTTAACAGACGCAGTAACATAAATAGTATTTGCAATACTAATTGCATCAATTTAAGTAAACTCAATTGTATTTAAGCACATATTCATTAAGAGTGTTTCAGACTTTACTGTACAGTCAATATGCTGTGGTGTTAGTGAGAAAAAAATAAGATGAAAATATAAAAAGCATCAAATGTCTTGCCTTTTTATTGCATATCTAATTATTTCCTCTTGATGTTTTAGAAAACTAGTATGATGTTGGAAGGTTGATTGAATTTGCCTTCAAAACTACACAAGGTTACACAATGTGAAAAACAAGATTTACATCTTTATCAAAGATTTAGAGTCCAGTAAAATAATAATAAACATATTTGAGATATATATATATATATATACACACACATATATATCTTTGTGTGAGTGTGCTGAATATACATATATTGCAGATTTGACCACATCACCTTCTCGGTCTGGGCTCTAATTTTAGAAAGGGCCCAAAAATGAATTAAATATAACGATGCAATGCAAACATTTGCACGTCCCCCCACCCCACCTCAAAAGATTACACATCGAATCAGCTCAAACTCCACCCAGCAATTGTAAGAAAGTCTGGGGAAACAAATCAGCATCGAACAAAGATTTGAAGCAGCAGAGGCGACACCAGCTTGTAAACAATGGCTATGGCTGCCAGTTTCACTGTGTGTCTCAGTGACCACAGTGTTAATCCACTTAAGAGACAAAAGACACAAAACTACTGATCTGACACTCTTCCCTACACAGAACTTCACCATATAAAATATAACCTTTTTATTATTATTATTATTATTTTTTAGGTATTACTCTGTTACCTCACAAAAATTCAGTTTTAATGATGTGGTCAGACTAAAGACAACAAAATCTCATCTGAGGGTCGGTGGGACTTGGCCGCGGTCTGCGCGATTTTTCACGGTGTCTTCTCCCTCGGTCATTCTCTCTCCCAGGCATTACCTTAACAAAAGCCTTTCTCGCGCACAGAAACATCCACTCGACCAGTAAGCACAAACGGCGCAGACAAAATGGCTGAATAGTGATGGAGGGACTGCATGTTCTTTATGTGTCGACTAATCAGCCAGCACTAACATGTGTCAAACACTGCACTCCCACTCTCCTCCGAATGGGAACATTGTCCTTCAGACAGAGAGAAAAACTAACACTCTTTCCGATACCCAGACAACGAATAAAAAGCACATAAATAAGGCTGCAGTCGCCGCCAGAAAATCAAATACGAAAACGTCGGGACAATTGCTACGACGACGACTGCTTTCTTTCGCACAGCAATAGTGTTTGATTTTTTTTTTAAATATACATCTATACATTACTGAAAAATAACAGTGTCCCTCTGGCGTTTTTATGTGCAAGATAAAGCTGGAGGTTTTCGAAAAACAGCTCTGCTGTCACAACCCGAGGTTTGACCAGTAACCTATCGCTATAGGACTAATATTCTCCACACGCAAACACGTAATATGGCATCAGTATTCTGTAAAGCCTGTCTGTCTCCAGCTCTGCTGCATTATTTTTAATTTATACACCAGCAGACAACACCCTCACATCCAAAACCTGAAAAATAATATAGGCACAGATAGATAGATAGATAGATAGATAGATAGATAGATAGATAGATAGATAGATAGATAGATAGATATTTCTTTTAGTGCTCTGTCGGACAGGAATTAACTTTGTGAATATTTTAGGCTTGGCGGACTGAAAGAGAGGAAAGAAACACAAAGAATGTGACTACAGGACCACTCAATAATCCTATCAGCCCAGTCCATGGTACGACTGTGTGAGTGAAGAGCAGAAGCCACAGTGGAATCAAACCCCAAAACGTTTCTTTGTTTATCACTTGCAACAAATGACAATCATTATTTCACAGTTCTCCTTGCTTCCATCTGAATCGTTTTTTTGTATTCGCCGTAGACTTCGGCGAAGACTTTAATTTCTCATGTCGTCGGTGTTGTGGATTCGCTTGAGCGTTTTTTGGGGTCTGTCTTTTGTGAATCTCGATCAGCTGGGCTGAAAATGGGGGTGGTGGAGTGAGAATAAGGTTAGTCTGTCCCAAACGGTCGAAGGCGTGGCACTGAAAATAACAGAATGCTGCTGATGCACACAGGCAAACAGTTTGCTGAAAAAGATCCTCTACTTTAGTCAAATACTCTCTTTTTTTACTGAGAGAAGCTGCAACAAAAACGGGATATGACAGGAGAAGAACTGAAACAAATTATTACTCTTCTTCTCTTTGTGTTGTCTGTGTGTTTATGAGACGTCGAGCACAGCTGAACAAAAGGTCGCCATATATCACGATTCAAATTTGACACTGTTACACTGCGTTTATGGCTGCCCAGTTCACGTGGAAACACAAAGATGGCTTTAATTTCCCTCTTCATGCCTATTGTAAAATTCAGTGGATCTTATAATCCACAGGATGTTCTGTACACACACACACACACACACACAAAGACAAACAATTAAATTTATCTGTGTAAATATTCGGTGAAACACACTTCAGATAAAAAAAGAGAAAAAACTGAAACACCAAACAACTAATCATCGTGACACCAATCAATATTTGAACAAAGGTGCATCGAAATGAACCAAAAATAAAAAATCCACAAAGCTGTATTTTTGTCTAAGACATCTTGCACCCTCCGTCTTACAGCTGGCTATCCGACAAGCAGACAAAGAGACAGTACCGCAGTGTGAAAAGGTAGTGACGTAACTGGCTTCTCTGCAGCTGAGAATTAGCTTGGGTATGTATCGGTTCGTTTTACGCTCTGAGGGTCAAAGTGAGCCTTCATGCCGCTGATAGTATTTTGAAAGTTAGCTGCTTCTCAGTTAGCCTATTGTATCTGCAATTATGCCTTGCCTTGTTTCCTGGTGCTCCAGCACATAGACACGCAATGGGGATGGGCTGGGTCTGGCTGTGGTAAACTGAATTATCAGCATCTCACTCTTTGCTCGTCTTTGCTTCTTCCTTTCTCGAACTGTACCTCACCCATCCCCCTCCGCTCCTGTCCTCTCCTCTCTTCGTCTTTCCTCGCCTCCAAGATTTTTCCACAGTGAAGGAGGTAAATAAAACTGCAGTGCTAGAATTTTAATAAGGGGCTTTTTTTTTTTTTATTATTTTTCTGGTTTATGCCAGGATAGACAAGCGGCAAAAGGAAAAGTATGACAAAAAAGACAACACACTCTTCCAACCTACTAATTGCAAAAATACTTTGAAATTCACATTTTGAGACAGAAGATGCCAAGGCTGACTTTAGCATGGCATTAATAACTCAGAGGGGGGAATCAAGCAATGTTGTTTTCGCTAGCTATGTCAATACTAACCTTGAATTTCTATTGAGAGAAACCTTAAAAATGCCAACGTGGGGTTTTAAATCTCCTTAAAGCAGAGGCTCACCTGGTTGAGGTAGCTGCTAGCCGCTAGCCGCATGCGTCACGGAGGCCTAAAAAGGCTGAAGTCTGCTCCTTGTAAAATCCAGTCCCAGTCATCCTAGGGTGAAACAACAACAACAAAAAAAACTGCAGAAAAAAATGGCAATAATAATAACCCATCTTTTGAGTTGAAAGAATAAAAAGTGGCAGAAAAGAGGGAAAGGGTGAGCAGATGTCATCAGAAAAGAGGAAAGAAGCTAGCTAATGAGGAGAGGGATGCTAGTTCTTCACCGAGCAACTTTAAACTTTGAGGACAGACGCAACAGATGCAGCAGTGGTGTATTGTGGAGGGTATTAGGGCAAAGGGAGACCCCAAAAATCTCCCCCACTGTGCCCGCACATTTGTTTGTGTGTGTGTGTGTGTGTGTGTGTGTGACAGCAGGGAGCAGCTCAACGCAGGACGCTGCACGCAGCAAGGGGCCATTAGACATGGTGGGGTGACCCACATAAAAGATACACACACACACACAGGCATGAAACTTTCTTTTCTGCATTCAATGTGGCATGATAACCATAAAGCTGGGATTCTTTAGCATTTGGGTTTAGCACGGCCATTGTCATCTGGTTCTCACAGTGTGGGATTTGGTGAGCTGGTTGAAGAAGCCTTTTACAACCAGGCATGTTCTTCCTGGTCAGTTCTCTAAAGTAAACGATTTGAAATTAAGTGTGGTTTGGGCATTTTTTCCCACACGTTCATCCGTGTTGACGGTGCTGACACAGAGAGTAGTAGTACATTTCTGTACCTGTGACTTATTGAGAAGCTGTGCAAGTTTTACATGACATTTGCTGCCTTATTCTCAGTATGAGAATACATCAAACCCCTATTTGGCTGCTCGCACTCAGTCGGGTTATGCTGTCCACTGTCGCCACATACTTGCTCAGTATGAGGGATTGCTGCAAACTCAATACTGGGTTTCCTTACATTAACAAAAAAAAAAACATTTTTCCAATTGGCATAATAAATTGAACTCGACTTCAATGTTTTATAAAATGTATGATTTGATCATCCTTTATCACAATATCCAGATATATTATAAAGTCCTTCATAATGATGTGCGCACCAATTAAAGGTGTGTAAAAAATCGACTGGTTGTTATTGAGACTTGGTGCTTTATTATTGCTGACTGTAAAGAAAGGCAAGCGCAGCTGTTTTCTTCTAACCAATTCCTAACTTAGTTGAATGTCATGTTTTTTTTTTTTTGTTGCTTTTTTTTGTCTTAATCTTAGAAGTGGTCAAGTTTAAACGGCTTCTGTGTCGGGTCACAGAAGGAAAACTTGAAATCAGGGACGCGAATTAAAACTTCCTAAACACTCTGACCAACATAAATGAAAACATAAATTTAATTGAAGAAACGATGCTGAAGTGGAAGCTCGTTTAAAATATGCTGAAGAAGATTACAGTCTGGTTCGATGATGGTACAGCTGAAATCTTTGAGTATTGTTTATTTTATTTATTTCGAACATGACAAGTATAAAATCACACACATGAACAAGGAATGCAAAAGACATATTTTTTGTACTACAATAATCTTAACACGTTCGAAAAGGACTAGGAAGAAGTAAGAAACGTATGAACTCCTACCTCATGAACTCACTACATTTTCAGATGGACCCTCATTATTAAAAAAAAAAAAAAAAAAAAAAAAAAAAACATAGGTTAATTAATGTTCCAATTTATCTGGGTTTACATGTCTTGATATGTAAACCCATATCAAGACATGGTATGGGTCTTGAGTGTGTGTGAGCCGCACACACTCATATGCATTAGCCTCAATTTACACATTTGGAGGAAGAATGCTTGTCCATTCATCATTTTATAAGATGAATGGAGAAATGTACCGGGGCCTTCTCTCTGAGAACCTGAAGTTTAATTAGATAGAATGTGGCTCATTCTATCTAATTAAACTTCTAAATGGTTTAAAAAAAAAAAAAAGCTAGAGTGGTCCAGTCTGGATAACTCATTTGTTTCCAATTCAAAAACAATAGAAAGAACTGAAGATCCGAGTTCATAGGAAGTATCTTTAAACTCTTTAAGCTTTGTGCCGAAGAAAAGGTTACAATCGCAATTTTTCCATATGCGAGAATTTGAAGTTCTCATCATCACAACAGCCTTTTCTGCAAAATATTTAACACATTTCTGTAAGTGTTTTCAATACTCGGTCAATGTTCCATTCCAGTTTTGTAATGGAACATTGATTGGTTGCCCAATTTGCCATGTTTCGTTTTTATTTATGGATTACTAGAGTCTGTGCCGATTTTACGTCAATGACCCCGAAAGAAATATTTACATGGAGAAAAACATTTTAAATACTTTTTTACTTGCTTTTTTTTTTTTTTTTTTTTTGCAGTTTCGATACTCAGAGCTGCTTGCTTCACTGTATCCTCTGACCAAAAAAAAAAAAAACCAAAAAAAAAAAAAAAAAACAACAGACAGGCAGATCCTGCGTCGTCAAGTCTGCTCAACCAACAGGCCAAAAGGTCTGGTTGAACACAAAACTGCTGCTTCATTGTGACCCATTAACACAACTATGCTTTTTAATAGGTGCCCCAGCTCAACGTTGGCTGTTTATTTAATGGACCAAGCTACATCAGCTTTCTCAGTAACTCCATCACAATGTGGTGCTCATTAATAAGTCCTAAAATGTGCCTCTTTATTTTTTTTCTCGTCCATAATTACAGTTTGGCCGCACCGCTCCACTTGCACATAGAGCTTCGCTGCAGACAGATTGTTGAGTTGGCCTGCAGTTCTGAAACTCTCCTTCTTTCATTATCCTTATCTCTCCATATCTCCTCCACTCCCTCCCCATACACACACACGCACACACACACACGCTCACGCATACATTGCCAGAGGGATTTGCAGCAGCTAGAAAGAACAGGAGTGTGTGTGTGTAAATGTGTGTGAATGCGTGTGTGTGCGCAGGCACAGCAGGGAGTTGCCAATTACAGCAGTGATTAAAACCTAGCGGTGTGGAAAGAGGGAGCAAGAGAAAGAAGGAGAGGAGAGTAGGAAGGAAGAAAAGAAAAGAAAGGACGGATCTGGACGGACAGAGAGACGGTGAGGGATAATAATGGTGAAGAATACAAATGCATCTCGCAACATACAGCCTCTCTATTCCCCCCTCCACCACACCTTTTCTTATCAATGTCCTGAATTGGAGCTGCGACATTTATGGAGAGCGAAAACTCCTGCAAATAGGCTCCGGCAATTTGCCGTGCGGCGCTCAAGGAGAGGCTCCGTAAACAGGAGTGCATCAGTGTCAAAATGAGCAACATCGTTATTGAAGGTTGGAGAAAGTCGGGATAATAATAATCAGAGTGCAGCGATCTACTGAAGGCTGCCGCTTCTGAACAAGGCATCGGTCCTGATTTACCTGCAGACTGTAATGTCATAATTAGTGTCAAGAGACACGAATGACGAATAAATAGATTTATGGGGGGAGGGGGGACTTTTTGCTGCAGACGGAAAGTAAGGTACGAGATACTTTGCAGGAAGTTAAACTTTAGCCTTCAACAGCAAAGATAGTACAATAGGAAAATGACATTAAATCTACTTGATAGAGAATATTTCACAATGAAAGTAAGAAAAGACACTGAATCATCAGTTAATAGACTTTCTCAGCTCTGTGTGTAAACTGTCAGATTATATTTAGTTAGTGAGAAGCATCTAATTATTAACGTTGGGCTAACGAAAGCCAAAAAGGCAAGGGACGGCCATGATTGTCTTCCTGTTGGTGGATCACATCGTGACATGGTTTATCTTAGAGGACCCTTCCCTTCCCCTCTCCGGCTCAGTGCCCTTCATGTGTCCCTCTGTCAACAACAAAAGCTTCATATCACGTTATAGATGAGAGCAGGATGGCCACACAGTTTACAGCCCAACGTTCATAATGTCTGCACCTGCAAGGCATTTACCAATTCACATAGATAATTGAAATATTGTGGGTTTTTTTCCTGTGTGTTATTAACCATATGGGGACAGCTTTGTTTTTGTTTTTTTTGTTTTTTTGCTTTCGCTCTATGCAGAACAGCAGCTTCTAGTTTGCGACGAACACAGACGATGCCATCGCAAGCAGGATGTTTGGTGAGCTTACCGTATAGCACTTAGCAGAAGAATTCATACGCCCATCGCATTACGAACACAAACTTCAACATTTTTGTGGGTATTTTTTAAATTGTGTTTTCTCTGTGAGAAATTTTATGAATTAACCCTGCATGAAAAACTTCTCCACAGCTTCATTCCTGGCGTATAATTGGTGTTCCTTCGCAGAGCAGATGTATTCGCCGATTGTTGTACTCTTTACCAAGTTATTGAGCTCAAAAGGCAGTGGGGGGAGGGGGTCAAACCTAAATGCACGCCTCACTTTTTAATTTTTTTTTTTTTAAATAAATTTGTAAAGATAAAACAATCTGTGATTTTGCTTCCACAAAAGCCTTTCGCTTTCATTTCAAACAGGACGTGGTTATTGCATGTTCTTAAGTCATGAAAACGTACAAAGGACGTTCATTAGGTCCAATTTCAACACGGCTCAACTCGTGTCAGCCGTAAAAGCGGGAAAGTTGGGCTCACAAACGAAGACGCTCGTCACGTGACTGTCTGTTTCTACGACTCATGTATGGAAGAGCTGAAAACGTCTGCATACTTTTATTTATCTGCCTTCCTGTTTGTTCTTATTGAGCGAACACCAGGCTATTGAAACCGTAGCAGAATGATTGTAATATGTTTAAGAACCAACACACAAATCTGGTTTTTACTACATCAAAGATGTACCTGTTGAGAAGACGTGCTCTTCATCGTTCAGCCGTTTTCAGCTCACGGTCTCTCATGTCGACCACAAACAGGAAAACTCCACTCAGCTCTGGACTCTGCAGGGATGACTCCCAAAACAAATGTTGGGTAAGCTAATCTCTGAGTTACAAGACTGGAGGCTTTTATTCAGTCTTTTAGTCATATCTTTAACAGAAGTGTCCTTTGCATTCTCAAATCTGCCAATTTAAGCTGTAAAAAGTAACATTTTGGGGGGGAATTGATGAGGTTAAATGTACTTTTTTTTTCTTTTTTGGAAGAATGTACCTGTCAAACACTGAAACGCTGAAGAGAGAACAAAAACAAAAGACAGCAGAACATATTTTCAATGCAAACCTGATATTGCACCCCTCAAAGCAGAATTAAAATTCCTTGATTTATTTTATTCATCATATCGAAAGCCAGCCAGGCTCTTTCTAATGAAGCCAGCGGCTAGTTTGATGTTTGTGTATGGCTGTGTGTGCGCGTGTGTGTGTCTGCAGAGTGGCAGGTGAGTGAGCTATCTGCAGCGCTCACACTCTCACCCCCTGCTGTGTTTAATCAATACCATTCTGTATTCCAGCCTTCACACATGGTCATGCGCACACACACTCACACGCATACACACAAACACTTTGCAATATCTTTCTGTGAGACATCTTGGGAATACTAAGCATGAGTAACTTCACACTTCTCAGTGAATAAACACTGCACAAATACATACAGAGGGAATGTGTGTTTATATGTGCTTATTTTGTGGATGTCTGATTGTGTGTGTGTGTGTGTCCGTCCAAAGTGGGCGGAGATAATTAATTCTAGTCTGTTGTGGCCAACAAAACGTGAGCAATATCTAGATTACATGATACATATACTTATCCCACTAAGCGTGCGCGTGTGTGCGCTAGTGAGGGTTTGGATGTTAGGGGAAAACTTCTCAAGAGCAGCGGCCGGATCGATTCCAGCTCATCTGGGATGGAAAGAACGAAGCGCAGGAAACAAAAGGCAACAGAGCGAGAAAAATGTTCTTGTCAAATTTTGATAAAAACAATGCACACTTCATTTTTATTTATTTACTCTTTTTTTCTTCTTTTTTTTTACTTTTTTAAAATTAAACTGGATCAGCTAAATACTCAGACCAAAGCTGCATTTTATCTGGATAAAAACACCAAAATGATCAGCACTCTCTATGAAAAAAAAAGTCTAAAACGTGTTAAAAAGCTTTTTCTTTTTTGCAACAGCAGAGGAACACAAATATTATCTTAACCAAAAATACGTCCATGGAAAAGTATCGTAACCCCATACGATGAATTAACAGGAGTGATTTTTGTTTTTTTGGGTATTTATGCAAGTTAGGTTTCTAGATTAATCAGATCACCTATAGGAACTTTGACTTAGTAATCCATGAAATTCTGTTTCACTTGGGGATAAATATGATGTAACACAGAGCCATTCTCAAAGCAACTCTTCAAAATGGGTAAAACATAAAAACATGAGTATCAAGCAAAACAGACACGCATTCATTTTTATAAGTAAGAAAATTGTCTTATAGTGACGTAATTTGTCCACATCTACAGTGGCTGAAAAGTTTCAAACTACTGGAAATGCGAGAAGGTTGGTCCAGTTCTCTGTGGCTCTAACCCTGCATGTGTTTACCTGCAAACTATTCAGAAACATCTTCATCCCAATCCAGCTGCTGTCTATGTGCAAATAATAATACAGAGATGTGACAGTAGGCCCTTTTTAACACAAAGGCAAATTGAATCAAAAGGCAGGTCGGTGTTTAGATATTTTCTGTTTTTCTCACTCGTGGCCAAATGTGTTTCTCTACACGCCCACTCAGTTGTACCTCTGTAGCAGAGCCTTTCTCCAGAAATAGCTTGGAACGCTGCTGGGTTTTCCTCAACATTTCCACACCACTATGACCTAA